TATTTCATAATTTTTTGTGACCCCCATTTTTTAATAATAATTTATATTTGTTAAATTATTTATAATAAATTGATTTTTTTATTATTGCTTTATTTTTTATATAATAAATGTAAAACATAACTTTATTATTTCATTATCTATTTAAATAACATTCAAACTTCACAATTAAACATAAAAACTCATTAATTTTTAACAAAAAATAAAATAAGAAACATTTAAAAATTCATAGAAAAAAACAAAAAATATTTGAAAATAATTTAATGCGATTTCTGTTGCTGAATATCCTCAACTAATTTGTTAAATAAAAAAAAAAGCTAAATATGAAAACTTTATCTTTCTTATTTCACTTTTCAATACAATATTTGGTTATATATCAATTTTCTTTTTATTATATTCTGAAGGAAATTTTGACAGCCCCCGGCAAACTTCTTATGGACCCCCAGGGGCCGTGGCCCCTGTTAAGAAACACTGGTTGTGATCATAATTTTAATTTTGTCCACCATTTTGCCTAGTTATCTAACTAAGAGTAATCATTCAATGATGCTCAGAACGTTCTTAGATCTGCCCACTAAGCCTCTCAGAATTCTAACTTAGGTGTTATGCGTTACTGAACACGGCCCTGGTAAAGCAGTTTTAACATAGCTGTAAGCCAATAAGAGCCATTCCATTTGAAATGAACTATGTCATTGGCTTATTTATCCAGCTGTATTAAAGCTGCTTTAGCATGCAAGAGTAGTTTATTATGTTCATGAGTAGGATTGCCAATTTGGCAGAAAACCCACCAGATCTAATGAGAATATCAAAATTTGATATAATTTTTGTTAATTTTTCACTTAAAAATAAACAACACATTATTTCTTAAAAACATGACTTAATTTGTTAGACAAATAGATAAATACAGTTAAAAATTTTTAAAGTATCTATTCTTTCTTAATTTATTTTTCTTTGAACATACCTCACTAATCCAACAATCCTACATAATAGCTAGTTTGAATAAGTGAGAGTGCACTGTAATATCTGATATTTAGAAAGAATAATGTCAGAAATGTCTTACACAAGATATTTGTTGTTATATGAAATATATAATCTCCACCAACCTCAGGATTAATACAGCAGGTATCAAAATTTTTCTAATGTTTTCAACCTATATAAACATTCTGAAGCCTGATATTTTAGTAATAAGCCAAACAATGGATTAAATCAGGCTATTTTACTGCCATTATTACCTCTAGTACCAAATTATTTAAAATTTAATTAAAAATAATCATGGTAAAGTAGCCTGATTTAATCTGGCAATTGTTTGGGTTTTCAACCTACTCTGAAGGTCTTGAGGCTTCAAGAAAATTAGAACATATTGGAATGTTCAAAAAATTTTCGAACAAAAATTTAATTTTGTATCAAACACAAATCAAAAGACCTTTGGAGTAAATCAAAAACATTAGAAAAGTGATATTTTTGATGCCTGCTGGATTAATATTGAGATTGCTGGAGATTATATATTTCATATTACATTTCTCCAGTTCAAACTTTGAAGAATTGTTACTATATATTGCTATTATAAAATCTTATTCTCTTAATATAANGTGATGTACAGTATGTAATAAACAAGGGAGCAAGCTGAATCCCAACGGGAGCTCTGTACTTCAGATATACTAATAATATATTTTAATAATACTAATATATTATAAAAATAGCAAAAGAGTGGAAACATCATTTGCACTTGTTCGCAGGAAGACTGTTTTTCGCCTCATGTAACTGCCGAACGGAAAGTCCATTGTTCGAAGCCAGTCCGTTGCTTGAGTCATGTAACAGCCAAACAGAAAGTCCATTGTTCGCAGCGTCCGTTATTCAAGGCGTACGTTATACGAGGCACCACTGTATATTTTTTCGTACGTAGTCGGTTATCCAAAAAATAAGTTATCTGAACAAGCTCAGTCCCCAATTGATTCAGATAAATGATGCTCTACTATAATATTCATATTCCTATTTGGAGGGGAATTGAATACTTAGTTTGTGACAGCAATTTTAAATTTTGTCTTCAATGCTTTATGAATTCAGTCATAAAAGACTGTGAATTCATATTCATATTAATAAAGATTATTTTCTAACTACCTAAATTTACTTGTGGATAATTTATGTAACAAATTATCCAAAATTTGATGTTTGAAAAAAATTCAGTGTAATATAGAGAGATGATTTTGTGACACTTAAATTCATGCTATTTATTTAAATCATTATTACAGTCTTGGGTATTGTTCTAATAATGATTCAAATAAATATCATAAACTTAAATATATTGCAAAATTGCATGCCTTATTCTATTGCTTTGTACTTTGCATCTGAATGAAAATTTTTCTATTTTTCAAATACTTTCCATATGTAGAACTCTCCATAACTCGAAATGACAATTTTTTTTGGTCTCTTCAAGTTCAAGAAGTTTTATTGTATACATATATCATAAAATTTGCATTTATATATTTACATACATAAAAATAAATATTGTATTATACTGTCATACCAGTATTATAAATGATTGATTTGTCACAAAGAGTTGAATTAATATGAGTGTAAGAGTTTATTTTGATTTTATTTTGATATATATCTGTTAGCAATAAAATCACATAACAATTTTTGTCAAAGGTTTTGATTTTATCAATAGTTAAATAATACATTACTTTAGTTAATACATAGTTAAACAATACATTAAATTTTAATAATTATAAAATATCATTGAAAAGAAAAATTATTAAGATAATTATTTTCATCAAATAATTAAATGTAATTCATGAAATTAAATGTTTCTGTACATCATTTTAATCATTGATAAATTAGAACAAAATATATTATTAAATTTAATTTTTTGTTGCTTTAAATATACTTTTTTAAACTTTATAAATACAATATCATCAATTTCAAGATTTATTGATTACATAAAATACTTTAAAATTACTTACTTATTGAAGGCAGAGGTATCGCTAACATTGCGCCGATGTATTCTATGTGAATGTGTAGGATTAGGAGAAGCTGGTGGTGTAACTGATCCCAATAATTTTCCTGAGTTTTCTCCAATAGTCATAGCTGATTTAAAACCTTGTGTAGAACATGGTACTAATGGTAACTTAAATGTTGCTACATCACAATTACCATGGGAGTTTGGATTTGAGTCAATAAAGGGATTGAAATTAGATGAGTGAGAAAGAATAGCTTCTAGTGATGCAGTTCTATTAGTAGAAGTTGATGGCTGAATTGTAAAGTTAGCTGATTGTTGACTTGGAGTAACAACTGTTGAACAAGGTGCAGAGGCTGATGAAAAACCTGCAATTATTGCAACTGTTTTGTATAAAATATATTTAAATTTAAAAATTAATTAAAAAATTATATATTTTAGAATAATTCTATTATACAGATATAAACATCTACCGAAACCCAATGCTTAGCAAATAGACACCTGCAATTGCTGTAAATAATTGGGCTATAATTTGGAAATATTACCATATATCTGCACAGATAAGACAACCTTCAAATAAGGCAAAGTATAAATTTTTGTCAAAGTTTTATAGTTTTAGCATATATCTGCCCTATAAGACAAATTCCAAACTATCAATGGCCTATGAATTTAGTTTAGATCAGTGATCATCATCTGGATAACAACACTGTATAACGTATACAGAATTATGTCATATTCATAACTTTTTGAAACAACTTCAATTTTTTTTTCTTGCATCTGGCAGGATTGTCTTGAGATTGTTGCAAACATTCACACTGATTCGGGTATTCAGGTAATGACCTTGATTATTCACAAAAATGTTGTATGGGCTATTATATTTTATGGACATACCCTACTTTCTACTAGTAAATAATTACGATTTGTCAGTTTTTTTATAATGGTTTTAATTTACATAAATTTCAATCTATTTTTTTTAAATAACCCTGGATTTTGGGGGTCTTTTTTTATGATTCAACTATCATCTTATCTATGCAGATATATGGTAATTATGAATTACAAATAAATTTGGCACTAGAGGGAGGCATAGGCACCATTAATTTAAATTAATTAATTAAATATTATATTAAATTTAATACGCCTCCCTCTAGTGCCAAATTTATTTGTAATTCATAATTAATATTTCCAAATTATAGCCAGATTATTTATGGCAATCGTGGGTGTCTATTTAATTTTATTATTATTATAGTGGTTTATTCAGACTCTAAACTAACAAGCTTTGAAACGAATTCAAATAGTTATCCAAAAATCTGTCAAACAGGTTTTCTTTGGGATATATAAATTTCCTTCACTATTTTCATCTTTTGGTGATTGTAATACATTATAATTTATCATGTTGTATTATGCTTGCATTAGATATTTGTAGCTTCTTACATTTTATTTACATAACGTGAAATTTAATCTAGCTGATTTAATCTAGATTTAATCATTTTAATCTAGATTTCATTTTAATCTAGATTAAAATGCTTAAAGTATATATGATATAAAAATAACAAAAGAAGGGGATTAACATACAACAACAATGAAAACGAGGAATTTTATGATCAAAACAAGATTTTTATTTTTATTCTAAATGATACAACTTTGAAAAAAAAAAAAAACAAACTAGAATAATATACAGGCAGTTAAAAAGTTCCCAAAATTGCCCTCCAGACGACAAAAGGGAGAAAAGATTGTATATGCATTGTTGTGGGAAGGACGATTACAATGTCTGCTTTCAGCTACAACTGGTCTGGACATGTTTCAATGTATGGTGATATTACTGTTTCATTTCATTTTGACGTGAGTGTTTGTCTTGCAGTGCCATGTTGCAATTTGAACAATGTGCAAACATCAAGTTCATGTGCAAATTGGGAAAATCTGCTTCAAAGACACTATTGACCCAATGTAGCAAATTTACATTGAAACTGCATTACAGAAATCGACAGTTTATAACTGGTTTTCAAGGTTTAAAAAAAGATAGGAGACATTGCAGGATGACAAATGCAGCAGGAGGCCATTCACATCCAGAACCAAAAAACAAAAAATTATTGCCAAAGTGGGACAAGTGATTCATTCTTAGCCATATATAACAATTGTGGATTTGAAACAAGAAGATGGTATCTCTTATGAATCTATTCATGCAATTTGACAACTTGAAGTTGAGACTTTTGTTCCGGACAGCTAACCATGGATCAGATAGCTGTCACATGCTGCTCACTGTAGATCTATTTGAAAAAGTACACAGGACTCAATATTTCTCATGAAGAACCAAGATCATCATTGATGATGAGTCAAAAATGTTCACCTAAAACAGAAAGATCAGAGTGGCACACAGCATTGTCTCCCTGAACAAAGAAATCACACCTTATTAAATCCAAAGTAAAAATGATACTCATTGCATTATTTGACGTCAGTATATGCACCATGAGTTCATAATATCTGGACAAAGTGTTAATGGACTTCTACATGCAAGTTTTGCATAGGTTACAAGATGCAGTTTGGAGAAATAGTGAGACAAATGATGGGGAAGATGGTTTCTGCACCATGATAATGCCCTAAGCCACTCATCACTTGTTGTGCAGCAACTCCTTGCTGACAAAAGACTTCCTCTCATTGCCCAACCACCATATTCATTGGATCTCACTCCAAATGACTTCTGGTTGTTCTCTATGTTGAAAATGGGTCTCAAGGAGATGTATTTGCAACCATGGAAGACATCAAATCTAAGTTGATGATCAAACGCCTGAATATTCCAAAAGAATCCTTCCAATGGTGCTTCTAACAATAGTAGGATCAATGGATGAAGAGTGTGTATGCGCATGTTCTGAAGAGTTCTACTTTAAAAGTGATTAGGTAAGTGTTCCCATATGTCCTACCATTACAGTGTTATAATCCAAAAAGCTACATACTGCTATTTTAAGAATTTTTTTGACTGTGTACAAAATTAATCTTGTATATTATGGAAACCACATTTGATTACAATTCTACAGAATATAATTAAATTTCATATATAGACATTCTCTACTTTATGATGGTTTACATTATATTTTACAAGTATGACGATCTGCAAAAACTGCCAGAAATTCATAAAAAGGCAAAAAAGAAAAGAAATTTCACTTCAATAATTCTAAAACTATATTTACAGCATAAGTGTATAATTCTTTCAACAGATATCAAAGCAACTGTCAAACAAAATCAATAAAGGGGTCTGACAATAGCTACTACAACACAAGGTTCCGACTCAACACAAGTGTTCAAATTTTATTTTTGCTACTTTTAAACAATTATGGTACATATTATTTATTAAAATGTATATTTATGTAAAGAATTACTTATTTAAAGAAACTATTAAAATATTCATATAATATTTTGATAATTAAAACTGTATAACTAATATATAAAAATATTTTAAAGGCCAGAACATAACTCATACAAATACATTATAACTTGTATTCTATTTACAATGCTTTCTTCAGGATATAATTCATCATAAATCAGGAGCTGTCTGTATTTAATTTTTCATGATGGTATAATGATTATGTAATCTTAAAAAATACATCTCCTAAAATTACAATAAAAAACAAGTAAAATGGCAAAGCTATTCTTGGGATAAGACTATGTCTTGGAAAGTGCGAGCAATGCATGCATAAATCTGTTTGTAGAAATGGTCTCAGCATTTTGTATTTTATTTTGACCTGGTTCTTGACCCTGACTACCTACAAGTCTGGTTTATTTTATGTGCATATGATTTTGGCACCAAATACTCTGTGCCAAATTGCAACTCCTGACATGTACTCCTTCATACCTTTAAGGTGTGCAGCCATTGACAGCAGAGTTATTTTAGAGACGAGACATAGTATCGTCAAAAATACAGGAGATTATTTTACGAAACAAAAGAAATTACATTCTGTTCATTAATTTTATTTCATTTTTATTAATTTTTCCAAATAATGCCTTAGATATAAGTTATTACATCTAGAAATAATATAAAATACAATAAAACCTCTGATCTCAAATCCCTCCTTAAGTTGAACTAGATTATTAGTCCTGGCAAATACCTATACTAGTGGTGTGCAAACCATGGGTCGTGACCCCTCTGGGGGTTGCGAGAAAATTTTTTGGGGTCACTAAATTCAAATAAATTTATTTGACAACAAAAAATATAAGGCTTTTCTTCAACAAGTATCAGGTAACAGTAAAATAGTGAAATGAAAATTATATTTATTTTATTTATATTTAAATTATAAAAATCCCAGAAAGAATTTCACTTTATGTTGATGATTAAAAAAATGTCCACTGTCTATCCAGGGGTCATAACAAAATTTTACACAAAATGGGGGGGTCAGAAATGAAAAGAGTTTGCACACCACTATCCTATACAATATGAAGTATTTTTCTACTTCTAAGTTAAACAAAATTTCACATATATCACATCATCCCTTTATAAATTAAACTAGTCAAACTCAGCAAGAACTGACCAATGTACTAAGTTTTGCAAATTCTTTCAACACATTGCCTGGGGGCCATGTTCAGTAATGCAGAATTTTTGCTAAGTCTAGTTATGCTGCAATGTCAAACTCATTTCTAACTACTGCTTGACTCCTCCCACCACTAGAATTCTAGCTAGTTCAGTCAGCTTCTTTTATCTATGCTAACTTCTAGTAGTGATGTCATTGTTTTTGGCTTGCCATACAATTTGCAAGATGGCTGCTCATGTTGAACTAAATGTATTTTATTGTAAGAATCACAAAGTTATTCTCTCATTCTAAAATGACTTTGAAATGTAAAATGATGATATGTCAATATAACAGATTCCGAGTACATTTTAATGGAAGATAGTGATCCATTTCATTGATTACAATTAACAATTGCTTTATTAATTTCATCATGACCTGACGCAACTTCCATTTGAATAATTTATTGGTTACTTCATCCTTTTTGACCAGTTCATTTGTGACAATTGTTGTGATCAGTGGTTCTTAACCTTCTTAAATTATGAAACATTTGGTGGGCTGTGCCCACCAAATGTTTCATAATTTAAGAAGCTCACCAAATGTTTCGTAATTTTTTGTGACCCCAATTTTTTAATAATAATTTATATTTGTTAAATTATCTATGATAAGTTGATTTTTTTATTATTGCTTTATGTTTTTATATAATAAATGTAAAACATAACTTTATTATTTCATTATCTATTTAAATAACATTCAAACTTCACAATTAAACATAAAAACTCATTAATTTTTAACAAAAAATAAAATAACATTTAAAAATTCATACAATAAACAATAAATATTTGAAAATAATTTTAAGGGTTAATTATAAATAATTAAAACTAAACATATAATATAAGAAGAAATGCACTATTACTCAATCCAAAGTCTATGCTAAAACTGAACTAAAACTAAAACACCCACAACTTGTCGTAAAGATTTTGCATATCTTTTGCAAAAACATTTAAATTTTCAAAGCCTACTACTAAGCCTACTATTTTTCCTAATTATTTTTAAAATTCCAAGCATTATAGGTTTCTTAGAATTACTTTGGAATAAAAGAAGTAAATACTGAGGTGTAAGTAGCATATTTGCATTTATTTCTTCTGTACTAACGAAGTTGTATGTAGGAAAAAATAAGAAATAAATAAAAAAAACTAAATATGAAAACTTTATCTTTCTTATTTCACTTTTCAATACAATATTTGGTTATATATCAATTTTCTTTTTATTATATTCTGAAGGAAATTTTGACAGCCCCCGGCAAACTTCTTATGGACCCCCAGGGGCCGTGGCCCCTGTTAAGAAACACTGGTTGTGATCATAATTTTAATTTTGTCCACCATTTTGCCTAGTTATCTAACTAAGAGTAATCATTCAATGATGCTCAGAACGTTCTTAGATCTGCCCACTAAGCCTCTCAGAATTCTAACTTAGGTGTTATGCGTTACTGAACACGGCCCTGGTAAAGCAGTTTTAACATAGCTGTAAGCCAATAAGAGCCATTCCATTTGAAATGAACTATGTCATTGGCTTATTTATCCAGCTGTATTAAAGCTGCTTTAGCATGCAAGAGTAGTTTATTATGTTCATGAGTAGGATTGCCAATTTGGCAGAAAACCCACCAGATCTAATGAGAATATCAAAATTTGATATAATTTTTGTTAATTTTTCACTTAAAAATAAACAACACATTATTTCTTAAAAACATGACTTAATTTGTTAGACAAATAGATAAATACAGTTAAAAATTTTTAAAGTATCTATTCTTTCTTAATTTATTTTTCTTTGAACATACCTCACTAATCCAACAATCCTACATAATAGCTAGTTTGAATAAGTGAGAGTGCACTGTAATATCTGATATTTAGAAAGAATAATGTCAGAAATGTCTTACACAAGATATTTGTTGTTATATGAAATATATAATCTCCACCAACCTCAGGATTAATACAGCAGGTATCAAAATTTTTCTAATGTTTTCAACCTATATAAACATTCTGAAGCCTGATATTTTAGTAATAAGCCAAACAATGGATTAAATCAGGCTATTTTACTGCCATTATTACCTCTAGTACCAAATTATTTAAAATTTAATTAAAAATAATCATGGTAAAGTAGCCTGATTTAATCTGGCAATTGTTTGGGTTTTCAACCTACTCTGAAGGTCTTGAGGCTTCAAGAAAATTAGAACATATTGGAATGTTCAAAAAATTTTCGAACAAAAATTTAATTTTGTATCAAACACAAATCAAAAGACCTTTGGAGTAAATCAAAAACATTAGAAAAGTGATATTTTTGATGCCTGCTGGATTAATATTGAGATTGCTGGAGATTATATATTTCATATTACATTTCTCCAGTTCAAACTTTGAAGAATTGTTACTATATATTGCTATTATAAAATCTTATTCTCTTAATATAAAGTTAAATATAAAAAAAAAGAGTAATTAATAAAATAACTAATCTACTTATAATAACTATATAACTAAACTTCTTATTATAACTTAATAACTAATTAACACTGTGAAGACAAATATAGTATATAAGTAAACAATTTTAAATAATTTCTAAGAAAAAATGATAATACAGTGGTACCTCAGGATACGAACACCCCAGCATATGAAATTTTCAGGATACGACATGAAATTCGAACATATTTTTTCTCCACAATACAAACAAAAACTCACCATACAACATTACATTAGTTCACAGTGCCATTTTTTATTCACTTCTGTTCATTGGTCTCAGTCCGCGTGTTTGCTTCGTCATGGAAGGATCTCGCTCGATAAAGGAATCTTGAGGTATTATCAGAAAGTGACTGATTTTATTGAAAAGAAACACCCCGAAAAGGTTCACACTGGCCGTATTGCTGCTCGGAGTAATGACATTTGCCTAAGTCATTTTAGAAACATTTTAGAAAGTAGGCAAAGCCAAACCTCTTTGGATAGACATTTTACCAAGTGACATCTATCCAGTGAAAGTGCTGGTGAAAGTGAAGGAAAGAAAGCAAAGAGCAGTGAATAAAAATTTAAAAAAAAATTTAAAAAAAAATATATATAAAAAATTAGTGTTTATATATATATATAAAACAACACTAATTTTTTTTTATCTTTTATAAGTTATTTTTAAGTTATTGTTACATTATGTTATGTCAGTTAAGTTTTAGTATCATTTTCCTTCTCACTCTCTTCCGCCACCAGTTTACACCTCCACAGTCGTCTATCCTCAAAGGTAAAGTGCAAATAAAACTACATTTTTTTAATCAATTATTATTCTATTATGGTTATTTATACATTTACAACTACAAAACGCATTTTTCAGTGTTTTCCTTACTATAGTTATTTCTTTTTTTAATGTACTACTTAGCTTTAATTCGAGTGTGTTTTTTGTGTTGAAACAAATTATTTGGTTTTACATGTAATTGTATGGGGAAAAATGATTCACCTTATGACATTTTCATGATACGATCTCAGTTTTGGAACGGATTAATTTTGTATCCTGAGGTACCACTGTAAAGTAATTAAACTGTCTTTTATATTTACCTTTATTAGATATATTTGCTTGTTGACTTGGTGAAATAGTTGAATTTGAAGGATTTAAAAGATTTGCTTGTGGTAATAATGGCAAACTTCCTACTGCAGGTAATACTTGATGGCCTTTTGGTCTTTGCCTTGGTGCTACTGATGTTCCTTCCAATATTGGTGTTGATGTCTGAAGTCTAATTATAATTAATTAAATATAAAACTTACCACTATTCAATATAAAACAAGTTAAATAATTGAAATTTATCTATAAATAAATAAGATATTATTTATGGGATAACCTGATATTATCAATCTTTTCATGTCTATGTAATCAATATCATGTAATGGATGAATTATGAACTACACCAAGCTCACAATAGTGCTGGATAGGACAGTTCATTGTGTACCCGTGCAAGGAACAAGATCGGTCTATGGAAAGTTGTGTGTCAGTAATATGTTTGAACATGGCAGTGTCTAAACAATACATATAGCATATTATGCTTTTTTGCATTCCATTGGGATTCCATTTGCATTCATCTTTGTTATACACAATGAAATAGCTCACTAATACTATAGCAAAAATCACAAAAATAGGAAAAAAGTTTGCAGCAATAACTAACTACTTCCTGTAAATGCAAGGGTAGACCGATCAGCCAGAGTGACAAGCGGTAAGACAACATAAACTTAGAAATATCTCTAGTTTGGTAATAGTCATTGTGTAATTTGTAACAGTTGTAATTTTAATAGTCATTTAATAATTGTCACTTCAAATTAAAAAGGTTTAAATTACATGTGATTTTTTGCATGTTTTTAATAAAGAATTAAAGGAACCAAGGAAAATATTTAAATTAAACAAGTTCGAATTAGCTATGTTTGACTGCACTATCAAAATGTACTATCAAATTTGCAAAATCCCTGAAAGCATGAAACCCTATGCATTGAGTTTTTTCTCTGTATGTATGGTTGCCTCTGCCAATCATTACTCATTTTTCTTGATAAAACAAACAAGTAAAATGGCAAGGCCATATTTGGGACAAGACTTATGTCTCAGAGACTCACAACTAAGCAAAATCACTTTGACACTCAAGGTGGGTCTCATTCTCATTCTCCAATCTTCTTTGGTATCACTGCTTTTGGGCGTGATTGTTCAAACTTCGCCAGCCACGATGCATTTTCGATGAAATTAACCCATCCAATTTCAAAATTTCTCAACGTTGCATTTCACCCCGGTTGAATTTTTGTTGATGCCTAATGAAAATTTTCCACTTTTGAAAAAATAACCCTTGCTATCATATCATCCAAAATTATTTTTTATTTTGCACAAACAATATATATATTAATAAATGTAGAAAAAAACAAATTATAATTCAGAAGTTAGTTTTAATATAAAATTATAATGACTAGCACCATCTACTTTGAAAAAAGATTCTAATGCTGAAACGAGATATCTCGGATCAACTGGTCAAGGTCAGCATGTTGTGAAGGTCTAAAACCCTTTTGTTTCAGAACAGTATCACCCTGCTAATAAATCTTGTGATTAGGTGTAAGAGGGGAAAAGGGGGCCTTCTGAGGTCGATGACCGAGACAATCTCCTCGAAAAAAATTGTTAATATATCAATAAAAGAAATCTCCTCCATTTGTTTAACAGTAATTCTATAGACGTTAATATCAACAAGACGGGAATAAGAGATGTTTCTTATCCCCTCTTTGGTTTCATGTGACACGTAGTACAGCAATAAATCACCTCGTTCGTCGTCAAAGGCAGTGTTTAATATAAACAATATCTAGATTGTTGATCAGTTTACAGAAATTATTGTCAGCTGAATGTTAATTTGTGGATGAGAGCTGTCAAACCTATAGAAATTTATATTATAAAATCATATCTTCTAGACGCCAATATCAAAAATTAAACACACTTCTCTGTGCCAGTGGTTCGTACTAGCTAGATCCAGATGTCAACACACTAACAGGTGTGTGTATAAATCATTAATAATGTCATAGTTCTCACCCCTCAAAAATAGTATGAAGAGGGCTTAGACGCAGTCCACAAGGCGGACATTTCCAGGACAGACATCGACTGCCTCATCAACTGACTTATACCGCCATCCTATCTGTCGCTACCTCGCCATAACTGCGATGACGATCCAGGAACGTTTTTACCAATGACCCATATTATGGATCAGGAACTTAGAGGTATTTTTTTAGATATCTATTTGTATACTTTCTCTCTGAGAAGTCTCTCTCTCGTCTCTTAGTTTAACTTAGAGAATAGAAATTAGATGTTCCATAAAAAAGACGAATCATTGTCGCAGTGTAGAATAGAATTTTTGTAACTATTCACTTTTGCCTTTGATATGTACAATTTTATAGTTGTTTATTAAATGTGTTATTCTTGTTCAACCTGTGTATTTATTTGGGAACCTGTCAACTTACTCATTAACCTCCCCACTCATTTCATTTTGCCCTCCAATAAAGCCATTCTTTGACAGAGCTGCCGATAAGTGGGGACAATTAACCCCCTCGGTTCTCACAATGTTGTTACCAGAGATATGTCAGGAATAACACAGGACAGGGAAATGGGTTTTTTCAAAGATTCATTTGTCAAAATTCAATTTCTCGTTTTGAACTTCCTAATGCACACATTTGTCAAAACTTGATTTCACATTGTTGCATTTCCAATGAGCAATGCATGCACAAATCTCTCACTACTGCCTGTTTGTAGAAATGGTCTCAGCATTTTGTATTTTGTTTTGACTCGGTTCTCGGTCCTGAGTACCTACAAATCTGGTTTTTTTTTACGTGCACATGATTTGGACACCTAATACTCTGTGCCAAATTGCAACTCCTGACATGTACTCCTTCATACCTCTAAGCTTCATACCCAGCAGGAAATACAATTTTATAAACGAGACAGTCTTGTCAAAAACTTATCAGATCTTAACTATGTTTAAATCATATTTAAGCTCAAAAACTTTGAAAACTAAATTATATCAATTTTATAATAAAACTTAATGTATATCTAAAATGTTAGCATTTTCTCAACATCACATATCAAAATACTATACATGCTAAAATCCAACTACTCACTTGAGAAACAATTAAAATATTACATAGAGATTATATAAAAATGAAAATAAGACCCAATTCTTAACTAATATACATTGATAAAAGTAAATTGGAAAATTACCTTTGTTGTGTTGATATTGATTTTTTAGATTCATTTTCAGAGAGGGGAACAGGAAGTTTATTTAAATCAGGAATAGATGTGTTCTAGAAAAATAAAATTATTATTATTATTATTATTATTAAAAGAAAAATTAATATATTAATATACAGGGTGTCCATAAATGTTTACCCTGATTTCAAGATTAATATTATATTTTTATATTTAGAATATAGAATAGAAATTATATTTATGCTGGTAATGTTTGTTTATTACAAGTCTACTAGGGAACTCATGAAGTTTCTGTACAGTTGTGTCTCATTCAACACTTTTGCCACAAGGAGCACTCTGTGAGCTATATTGTAAAAATGGCTTCTGTGCAGTGAAAGTTTAGGTCCCATTATGGAAAGAAAGCACCTAATGTCAAGTTAATCAAAACATGGATGGAAACTTTTTTAGCAACAGGGTTGGTTCAGAAACGGACAAGCAGCAGCAGACCATCTGTTTTGGAGGAGAGTGTGCAGGCAGTTCAAATCGCATTCACGAGGTTGCCACAGAAATCAGTTAGACAACTTTGCAGAAGCTTCAAGTGCCAAAAAGTACAGTGCATAAAGTGGTTCACAAATGTCTTAAATTGTATGCATACAAGGTCCAAATTGTTCAGGCATTACAACCAGAGGATCGCCCAAGGCATTACAACCAGAGGATCGCCCAAAACATGAACAATTTGCTTAGGTTCAAAACTTAATGAGTAGAGGCATATGTGGTATAATGCATGTTTCATTTACTGTATCCAATTAAGAGTTACATTGTTTTGTTATCAGGGTAAACATTTATGGACACCCTGTATTATATTTATGTTTTAAGACTAACATTATGTATTTTTAAAAATAAATTATAGAAAATGAATAACCAATCCATCTTTTACTGCATCAAGTCAAAGTTTTTTCTGTCAGGAAAGAAAATATTACTTTGTATATTTTGTTTTTGTTTATAAATTACATTTTGGACATATTGGTTTAAGTTAGCAGTGGTATTTTATTTTTGGAAATTTCCCAATGAACAGTGCAAACCATGTACTATACTAAACATCAATGCAGCAATGGATGAAAAATTGGTTTCCAATAGAGTTTATATAATATATGCTGAGTAAAAAAGACAATCTGAAAATTTTTGGGTTGTGCAATCATATATTGGTTATGCTAGGAATGGTTTGATTTATGTTGGCAAATCTAGACAACCACCACATAAGAATCTAGGAGTTGAAATTATTCAAATTTTGATGAGAAGTTTTCACAATTCTAGCATTAATCTAACAATACAGTTTTTTTACAAGTTTTTCTAGTTAGTTACTCTTGAAAAAAATAAAAACATTATTGTCCATTGGGAAATTGAGACAAAATAAGATATTTCATAATAAATGAAATCAACATGAAATCATATGCAGTGAAACTGCCATTAACAGACACTGCTTCTTAACAGACATTTTTACAATCCCCACATCCTTCAAATAGGACATCTATTATATTTATCTCTACTAAGTAGCAGATACTGTCATTCATAACCAACCTTACAAAAATGCAATGTACAGTCTTCAATATTCTGAAACAATTAATTATTAATACATATGAAATATTTTAAAATGAAAACAAAAAAAATTGGTTCAAATACTCTTTCAGATGAGAAATTTTACCATAGGTGTCAAATAAAAATTGGCTGAAAATAGAATAGGAAAGGAGGACACAAAGCTGAACAATACTATTTAACTGTTAAAGAAGACTAATCTGGTTAAGTTGTCATCACTACTTATTGTCATACATATTACTTGATAACTATAAAGCAGACAAATCACTTTATCAATTTTCATTAGTCATTTAGACCATAAATGACATTATAAATGCAAAAAATACTGAATACATTTCCCATCCCTTGAGGTGGCTGACAAATTGCTTTCATAACTTGACATTCAAACTTTCACTGCTAAACTGACCATCGTTCACTCTTCTGTTCATAACAATTGTTTCATTTTTCTTTTTTGTTACTTCCATCCATGTCATTTTTGATGAATTAATAATTAATCAATGTTTATGTTTTGTCATAATTTTTAGGTTCCATTTAAAGTATCCTGTCCAATTTATTTGCTATTTAGAATTCAATTAAAATGAGATTTTTACAGCTGAAAAGAAATAATATACTGTATATATATTTTAATTATGAGGGCAGTTTTTTCCAAGCTACAATGATCCATAAAACAAAGAGAAGCATAAATAACAAAATTAATTTATTACCAAAAGTTAGGTACAAACATAGTTACTTTTTGACATAATCATTGTGAAGATTAAGGCATTTGTCATATCTGTGGACGAACTTTTCCATCTCCTTGTCATAGAATGTTGCTGCCAGTGAATTGAGATGACCTTAACAATGTTGTTTTGAAAATTGTCATCAGTCTTAAACCTCTACGCTGCTAGCCACATTTTCAGTTCAGGAAAGAGGTGGAAGTCTTCACACATTAAAAAGTTTTAAGCTGGGTGGAAGTCTGAAAAGTGGAAGTCTTCACCACCTTTAAACACCCAGCATATAGCCTTGATTTAGTGCCAAGCAACTTCCACCCCTTTCCTGAACAGGAAAAATGACTAGGAGGACAGAGGTTCGAGATTAATGACAATCTTCAAAACAACATTAGGGCTCATCTCAAGTCATTGGAGGTAACATTCTATGACAAGGAGATGGAAAAGCTCATCCACAGATATGACAAATGCCTCAATCTTCATGGTGATTACATTGAAAAGTAACCATGGTTGTACCTAACTTTTGGTAATAAATTCATTTTGTTATTTATACTTGTCTTTTTTTTATGGACCATCAAAGCTTGAAAAAGCAGCCTACATATATATCCTACTTATTCTTTTTGGTATATTCAAATTCCTAACACGAATTTGATGTTTTCATAATCCATCTTATTCTTCATTATATGATGAACAAGTTAAAATACAGTATAGCTGCTAGCATATACCTCCTAATAGCAGACAAACTACTTGGACCTGTTGGTGTCTACTATTTGAAGGTTATACTGTAGTTTATTCTTCATTGTTATGTTTTCAAAGTAATATGTCTATTATCAGTCCAATTACACATACTGAAAAGAAATAAATGCTATTTTATTGAATACTATGCTTTATGGCACTCCATCGATGATAACAAGAAAACTGCAGGTAATTCTATATTATAACAAACAAAAAATGTAATGTTGATGTAATGCATCAAAAAGTAACCACATATATGTGCAAATAGCAAACTAAGCATTGGTCCTGTTATTCTTTACAAATATCATTGACAAAGCTTCACTGAATGCATTTATTGTATTTACAAATGTAAGGTCTAAAACCATTTCACTTGGCTTATGTGGGTTCCCAGACGAGGTTCGAACTCGAGTAAACCATGAAATTCTTGCACGACACAAGATGTAAACAACGAGACTCGGGACGGTTCGAGTATGTGTCCACTATCTGTTAAGGTCTTAGCGGAAGACAAACTCTAACACGAGCACTCATAAACAGGTAGATCTTTGACTCGCGTGTCTATAAAATGTTGGCCGAGATAAACCTTTTCGAAACAAAAAAATAGAGGAATTTTTGATAGGTGAAAGATGAAAAATGATCATTAAATTATTAGACGTCAAAAAAATGGTAAATAATGGCCTGAGTTATGAGTGCAGGTGTTATTATTTTATAAACAGTCACCGAGCAGAGTCGACAAAGAGGTTTCAGATGGACACCTCAAATTGGACCTTTCCCGCGACCCAAAAAGGTTTTGTCTTGCACCTGGAGACAAAGGAGAGACCAATCGGGAAGCGAGGAATGGAACGAGGGACCAATCCGAAATGCGAACAGTGGGGGAAAAACTATAAAAATCGGAACTTCAAGGTCGAAAGAGAGTCTCCTCCAGATTAAGCCTACAGTGGTGATTTAAATTGTGTTGTGCATCCGCCGATCACCGAGGACACTGCAACGTAACAACAAACTTCTGCTTCGTCCAGATATCTTTCTCGTCCGCCCGAACTGCGACCCATCACACGAACTTTTGCCGTTCCCAGGAGCACCGAGATTTTGGAATTGTCCATTATCGATGTAAGCATGAATTTGAACAAACAAACAAGTTTTATCTTGTAAAACACTTGTACATCATTTGCCTCCTTCGCCACCGCCTACATACGCGGTTTCCCTTAGGCTCATTCTGACGTGAGATAGACTTTTTCCCCCTCAACATCGGCAAACCTTACACTTACATGTTTTTGCAGCACTCTTTCTCTGTCAAATGGTAATTCTCTGAGAGTTGTAAATGGTAATTTATGTCAAACTCAAAGTGGGAGAGACAGTATCATGATGAGAAATTAAACTGGGAAAGTGGCTGAGGAGGAAATCAAAATTCATAAACAAGTAGCTTTGATTCTAAATACACAAAAGGAAAACGAGGAAAGCACTTTATATACCAATTAGACATTTGGTTCAGATGGCTTAACTCTCAAGCAATAAAACACTTCTTTCCCTAATTATGGGCTATTATCCTAGGGAATTTGTAAGTACTGGAGGAAGTGATAGCCTTAGCTTGGAAGTGAAGGAGATAACCATCCCTTCCAATCCAAATTCAGTTCCTAGCAACAGAACAACAGTCAATAATGGAAAAAGAATAGTCAGATTGTGGCCAATTGAAAATGGTGATTTGAGTCAGACAGGTCCCCAAGGACACAGTGGTGTGCATGTATGTTTGTGTCTTGTTGACGGTTCTTGTTAGTGAGTAAAAGACTCACACTCAGTAGTGTCATCACCTCAGTTGCAAGGCACTTTAAACCAGTTAAACTGAATGAGAGATAAACTATCTCCTGGTCTTCAATTGAGCATAAGAAAGAGAGATCAACTATCTCCCAATTTTCAGCCAACTCCCCGAGAGAGAGATCAAGTTCTCCTTCGTGTTGACCCATCATCTGCATTTCAACCACCAAGCATCTTCCAATTGTCAAGTTCAACTTACATCAAGCCAATGTCACCTCCCACCTGGAGCCAAAATACTTCGGGTGTCAACTTTGATTGTTTATAAGACCTTTTTCCTTCAAAATAAATGCAATTATTTTTGTATGTCTGTGTACATCTCTCTGCCACTGCTACCCCCCCTATGTCTTCATTCTCTTGTGTCATCCTAACAGAAGTATGAGAGTGGCAGGTAATCCTACTTTCTAACTTATTGTAGGGGCATTTAACCAACAAGGCATTGGGCATTAGCTCACAAAGAACACTAAAATTATAATCATGTATCATAGATTATTCCTGCACGATTTGGCAAAACAACTGATATTACTACTAATGGAAAAATCTGCAAATGCATTGTGGCATGGAACTGGGAACAAAGCATTTTATAGAATTTGCTAGATTGTAACCAGCGCAGAATGAGAATCAGAAAAAAAAATCTTCTATAGCCTTCCAAATAAAAATCAAAAGTAAAACAGTTTACAAATTGTGTAAAAATAAAATTTGTCATGAGCATTCAATAAATTATGTCTAGCATGTTACAATAAGTAATCAATTTTTAAATAATTGTTATTTACAAAATAATTTGTTAACCAAAATATATCATAAAATTTCGTTGATTTAACAATATTTTATGTCTAATGTATTATTAATAAAATATAAACTAAACTAGTTTAGCCTATAAAACCTGGCTTTTGTGAATCTTTATACCCAAATGGTATCTGCATCTTGAGGTTAAAAAATTTAGTTTTAACAGCTCAAGATGATAAAAGTCATTTTATTAACTAATCATCATGATTACAAATTCTGTCATCAAAAAGAAAACTGAAAAAAGAAACTGAAAACTAAATGATCAAAAAAGTTTATTAGATGTAAGGTATTAAAAAAAAAAACAGTTTCTTTCCAGAAATATGTTAAAGATATTCATGTTAATTATATGAGTACTAAGGTGGTTTTCTTTTTCACTAGACTTATTATACCATCAATAAAAAAAAAGGACAAGCTTTAGAAAAACTTTTTATTTCTTTGAGTATGCATTTCGGACAATTATGTCCCTTTTCAACTCGTGTTACAACTAACTAGGGAAAATTGCATACATTATGCTAACTTGTATGTAATTTTCCCTATATAGTTGTAACACAAGAGTTGAAAAGGGACATAATTGTCCGAAATGCATACTCAAAGAAATAAAAAGTTTTTCTAAAGCTTATTATATCATCAATAAAAAGGTGGACAAGTCTAGCGAAAAAGAAAAGCCACCTTAGTGCTCGTATAATTCAACACAAGACTAGACAAGGAGCGTATCACATATTCATGTTTTCCAAAGTATAATCATTTGTTTTAATTGCCATGATTCTTTGTTATTTAAAAAAAAAAAAAAAAAGATTAGTTCAAAAGAAGCTGCTACGTAGCAATAAGCTTATCCCAATAAATTTTTCAAACTTTTATGATTTCAAAGTTATTAATCAAATTGAGAATTTTTGATTCATTTCTGCTAGTGATAAGGTGGACTGATATTAGCTAGGAAAGCAATTTGCTCTAACAACTTAGTTTGCTTGTTATGAATAGCAAGAATATTCAAGAAACAATAAGCAAAAACAATTATTAGAATAAAATTCTTACATCTTAAGGTTGCATTACAAAACTAAACATCAATTTTTTTAATACCTACAAAGGAGCTGAAGTAATTGAGCATTAGAGTACATAAAACATAGCAGTATGATAATGATGAACTTTAGAAACAAAAATGCCTGCTTAAAAACAGTTATTTATTTTGGAGTGTTTAGTCTCATTTCAAGCTATCTTCAGAATGCTGTAAATCAGAATGAAAAGTAAATCAGAGTTAAAACAACAATATAGAAATTTACTATTCTGTAAATATTCTATTTTGTTGTTCTATCTTTGATTTACTTTTATGCTCAGGATGAGATAAAGTGAGGCCAAAAACATTTCAAAGAATTTTTTTCTGTCCTGAGCCAACAACCATTTTGTATCATTTTAAAACTTAATAAAATTTTATAAATTTCTTACATTAACATTCTTGATAGGACAATTTCTATTCATCAATTTAAATGCTATATATGAAACTTGAAATATATCTGGTCTCAAAGCAGGATCTGGTTCCAACATATATCCTGTAAATAAATAATGTGAAATTTTATCCATTTAGCCACACTTTATTTTTAAATATTAATTAAATCCAATATTTATCATTTTTTAAAATATTTTTGTTAAATCCATGTACTTTAATATAAATGTTATTACAAAACAACTTACTTATTAGACAATGTAACTTAAATGAATATGGTGAATTATTTGGAATAGAAAATGTTCCAGTTTGAATAGCCAAGACACTTTCTCCAAATGGAAGAGTGAAAAAACAAAGTTTGTATAGTAAACACCCTAATGCCTAAATAAAATATAATAGTATTATGAACTGAATTTTATATTTTAATAATGAGCAGAATAATAAAATAATGAAATTTACAATATAAGAAGTCATTTTCATAATATTTTGAATGTTTATATTATTGATTTAATTTTTACACAAATCAAAATTTATTTAAGAATAATTTTAAAGAGTACTGTGATCAATCTTAGGTACATTGCTTCTTTGATTTTCTTTTTTTAAATTTAACTCGGTCCTACAGGCTTTAAAACAATCTTTTATCATATTCATCATGGATTTATCCAAACCACAATATGGGCAGTTAAATCTGAGAAATGGAGTCCAATCTAGTCAAGAAGATTCTTAAGATAAACCAGACTCAAATCCAAGCATGCAGAATATCAAATGAGTGCTTTACTATCTCAACTATACCATCCAGTTCTGCTTTTTGAACTGATATGGCATAGAATGGCAACTAGCTCAAAACTTTAGTAGATAGTTGCACTAGAATTATCTTAACTAATTCAGAAATTATTCTCAATTTATTAAATATATTAATTGATGAATTATTCTGGTCAAGATTTTTAGTATTGAGCAAGATTATTTTCACTGTACAGGTATACCTTAATTAGCATGATTAAGTAATCCCTCAATGCTACCACATATATCAAAATTGCATTAATCAAATACAGTGGTACCTCATAATTGAATGAATAATCATGACCCACTATCACAAATTATCAGTTAACAGCAAATATTTTTGTTTTAATTTTGTCATTCATAAAATGTGTAAAATTTGTAAAAAGTTTTCTATAATAAAAGGAGTAACTAATTTAAAAATAAAATGAAATTTCAGAGCTGCCTAACTTTGTCAGACAAAATTATACTCAATCCAATTTGTTTTTTTTTTTTTGCTTAAATCATGTGGAGCACAATCATCATGTCAGTGACACTAAGATTTGTTTAAAGCTCACAAATTGTTATTTGTCAATTATAACAATTTCTTCCTGAAATTTCTTTGTCAATAGCTTTTGGGTGCTCCATACATTTTATATCATTTAGTTCAAAATTTCCCAAATAAAACTTTCAAAACCACATTTAACATGTCTGATGTTTATGAGCACCTACCACATACATACTGCAAATATTTTTTACTATTTGTATAGCATTATATCACTTACAAAACCTAAAAAGCATACATAATAAGTCTGATATGCTTTTTATCTGCACACATTTTGATCTGATTTTACACAAACAAAATGTGAAGTAAAAAGTTTCAAAATAAGCTTCTAAACAAAGAATACAATCTTAAATTAGCAGTAATGTGTTAAATTTTACAACTATTGTAATCAAACTACATATCTACATTAAGTAAAGACAGCTGTTAAACATGCATTAATTAAAACTTCTGCTGTATATAAAGGGATTGTCATAATTAATTTTGCATGTTAATCAAATCTTACATTAAGCAAAACCAGTTAAACAAAGGATATCTGTACATGCAATATTTTTGAAAAATAAAGACAACCAATATTAAATAATGAATAGCAAAGAAGTTTTATATGACAAATTTGTTGTATGTAGCATTTAAATTGTGAGTGGCTAATAGTCAAAAAGTTACAAAAAATAATAGATGACATTTGTAAAAACATATTTTTGTTATAATTATAAAAGTGACTTAAAACAAAGATTCACAAACACAAAAACTATTTATTAAAAAAGATAACTTGCATATAAATTCTCATATCATAAAATCAATTACATATTTTTTCAGTGAAAATCAGCAAGAGGCATTGAAAACTTCATACTAACTGAAATAATAACATGCATCCACATTTCCTGAATATCTGCTCCCATGTGTTTCATATAGGGAAAAAATTTCTTTTGTGGTTTAGAGAAAACATTAGAAGATAAAATAATTTCTTAAGTATTTCAGTTCAGTTTATTCAGGAAATGTGAATGCATGTTGTCATTTCAGTTAGTATAAAGTTTTCATTGCAAAACAAATTTTAAATGTTTTATGATATGAAAATTTATTGGTGCATATTATCATTTTTTGGTAATTACTTTTTGTGTTTGCATGTTTATAGCATGTTTTTTTATGTTATTATTATACTGAAAGTTCTGCATGCAAATATTTTTAAAAAAATTAAAAGAAACAAGAATATCTCTCTCAGACTAATATACCAACAGTCTGAGAGAGATTAACTTAGTAAAAATTCCTCAGAAATAAATAACAAAAAGCAAATGTTAAGCAACTTCTCAAATATTTCATAGAATGCATACTAAGTATCAAAATGATTAATGCATTTTATATTTGGATCAGTAATTGAGATATAATGAATCATGTTATAACAATTTCAATTTCATATTAAACAAATAATGAATAATTTTCTAATTAAAGATAAATTAAACAAAAAAATCTTAAGAGTTAGAAATCCTATCATCACAACTACATTATTTTGTTGCTTTTTATTGATGTATTTCAAATTTACAGTTCATTTTATAAATAATGCTTTGGAAAAATTTTTAAAAGCTTAAAATTATTGAAGAAAACATCTGGTTATATTAATTTGCAATATCTCGTATATATATAGTACATATTGTAATATTTGTCTAATACATCAAAACTTATAAAAATATATATATGTATAAATTGATTTGTATATAAATAATATTTAAAAGAATTTCAAAATAAATGTATAAAATATTTTTAAAACAAAACATTCAAAATATTATTTTTCTGACAAATATGACAAAAATTTCTAAATTTTTCTCTCTGAAGTTTAATTAAATAAATTTCATTAAAACTTTACATATTTTGAAAAAAAGAGATCACATGAGTCCTGCATTTAAAAAGTTTTTTGAAAACCATTTGTCAGGATTGTGGCCCTTCTCTATGTCATCATTAGCTTGATCAACTAATGTTGCTCTTTGTCTCAGACAAGATGGAGCCAAGATGTGAACTTCAACTGGGCAAGGTTCATCCTTGCTTCACCCCCCCCACCAAACACTTAAGATTGTTAGAGGCCGTGCACATATTTAAATCTAGCTTCATCTCTATGTGCATTATTTATAAGGAGGAGTTGGTTTTGTTGATGGCCTGGCAGGCACTGATTGACACCAATGTTTAAACATTGGTCTCTGCTAGGCATCCGATAAATGTGCTTAACAACATAATTCACTTAAAAAATTCTCTTGTGTCGATTCAAATGATTGTATTCCAAAGCTTTTAAGTTCCATCAGACATCCATTTAATGCCTGAAGAAGAACTCTGGGGAGTTCGAAAATGTTTGTGGTGAATTTTTGTTTCGGTTTTTCTTTGCACACTGGTCATCAGTTTCATAAGGTATGTTATTGACTATATCCTGGTGGTGTGTTGTGGTTTGATGATATCTTTGTGACCAGAAATATACTGTAAGAACATACTATAAGCATTCAGATACAACTTTACAAAACAGCAGAAATGAACCTTAACAGTATATGAATGTTTATGTTATTTTACTGAAGCAGTTACTGTATTGTAGGAACTTAACTCTTGTTTGTATCAATTAACTTATGATAAAATTGGTTTCATTATACATTGTTTCAATCAAAATCACAGTTTCCAAGAACCTATCAATATTAAGTAAGGACTTACTTACTATATTAGCAGTTCTAAACATTTTATCTGAGAAAATCACAAACTGTTTTAAAAATAACTTAAAACAACAGTTAAAAGCAAAATGAATGAGCTTATTAATCTATGAGTTACATTACTATACATGATAAGAATCAAAGAGCTAATACAATACATTTTAAACCTGTAATTCTATTATGAGAGATTAACAAATTAAATTTTAAAGCATTATATAAATTATATCAAAACAAGTATACTAGTTCTATACTATATCAATCAAAACATTTTAAAACAAGAAATCTCTGCTATCCAGTAGTCTTTTCATTAAAAATTGAACAACTATTTTCAGCCATCTTAACTATTTTCAGGTTCTAGAATAGACGTCCTCAAACTTTTTTGATTGTCAACCACTTCAAGGATCATGATGATGATAATAATTCTAATATTATTATTATTAAGTATATTCCACAAATTATCCTTGAGAACACAACACAAACTATATTTTGACAGAGCAATTATAACAGAAAACAATTCATCACAATAGACTGAATATTATCCTCATTGACAAAAGTGCACAAAACTACCTATATCATTGACATCACTATACCAAATACATAATCTATAAAATAGCAATACAGAAAAAATATCCAGCAATGACTTGCTCAACTATCCCAGCAACATTTAAAATTTTTATGGTGCCATCTGTTATATTTTATTATAAAAAATCTTTTTATATTTTCAATGGCAAAAATCTTAATTTTGAGGGTAGGGATGGATTTTATAAAAAATGCTAATAATGAGTAAAATCATCATTAAGTTTGATCCTACTCAAGATGTAACACATGACTCCCGTTTATTTCCCCATCCCATTGACCTTTAACCACCAAAATTTAATAGTATTAATCCCTTAATACACAAACCTGCAAAATTTCATAAATTTTTGACAAAGTAAAGAATTTATTAAGCTTCAAAGAGGGTGAACAAAATTGTGTCCCCCATACACAACCATCCATACATACAAGAAAACTCCCAAATTTTTTTGCAGTTCTTGACATTTCATAGTCCTGAATCCAAAAATGTAAAAATCTCGGGGGTCATTTTTTGACCAATTGCCATACTTTCTCTCTGTTATACATAACAGAAAATAAGTAAATATATTGAACTCGCTCAAGAAATAAAATGCTTATGAAAAACGAATGAAGTCCATACCATACCAATAGTTTTCTCTGCCACAGGAGTTATCTCACATTCTTTACATAAAAGCATGAAGACAATAGACATTCACTCAAATTTATATACATTTTTACAAAAAGTTACCATTTTGGCAACTTGTCAGAAAATTTTTCCAAGGTTCCATACTGCTCTTATCAGCTTGGCTCTTGGGCCTATCTGTGAGAATAGACACACAATCTGAGAATAGTAAAAACAATATATATATAAATTTGGTGAGCCAGTATTAAACAACACACCATTTTCATAGAAAACATCTGTTCAGTATGGAAATCCACAACATCCTGAACTATCATACACACAAACCATTGGACTGATAATTTTTTAATGAATGGTTTTCAATTAAACCCTAATCAAATTCAGACTAATCTTCAAACCCTCAAAAAATGCCATTGTAGGTCAATACTGACCATGTTAGGAATCCCTAGAAAATAAATAATTTAAAATACAGAGCTACATAAATATTCCATAAAACAAAGTATTTTTACATTACGTTAAGTGTAAAAAATAACAATAAATAAGAGAAAAATTTTTGCATTTGCATTTATTATTTTTATCTTTTTATTTGTTTATTGTTAATTTTTACATTTACACTTAAATATTTATTTTTGTTATATTAGTGTTTTTGCAACTATATTTTAAACTTTTTACATTCTAGAATCTAAAGATAGCTACTTAAGATGATTAAAAATGCTTGTTCATTAAAAATTGCTGGATTGCAAAGATTTCTTATTTTGAAATGTTTCAATTTTATTCTTGGTCAATAGAAAAATCCACTTATTTTAGCTGAAAAATTCACTTCTTTTTTTAATATATTTAAACACATTGTAAAAAGATGTAATTAAAGCTATGTGATATTTATTAATTCTAGCATTATGTAAAAATGACTTAAATGACAATTTTTTAAATATTTACCCAGATATCAGCTTTTGTTGTAATTGGATGACCACTGTATAAATCAACCATCTCAGGAGAACGATATGATATAGTTGTATATCTAACAACAAATTAAAATCAAAATTAGAGTAAAAATAATCATTTTAACTGGAATAATGTAAATAGTAAAAACAAATATACTTTAATTAGAAATAATTATAAACTTTATACTTTTTTTACATGAACATTTTAATAAAGATATATTTAGTATAAAAAGTCTGTTCAGTTGTAAAATAAATATAAAAATTGATAACAAAATCCTTAAAATCACTATAAAAATTATGTGATATTTAAAATTTAAGTAATTTTTAACAAACAAATTGTGTGATTATTCTAATTATTATAACTACATAAAAGATATAAAATATTCAGTAGTTTACATAATAAAATTTGAATACTTTGAAAATTTTGACTAACTGTTTTAGTGATAATCTCAAAAAAAGTGTTCCTATCAAATAAATTTGTATATCATCATCAATGAAATTATGATGATAAAAAAAGGGGAACTACACCATTTTATATTTATAATTTATTTGAAAAATTATGCAATTTTAAACATACTTTAAAAAATTCAAGCATACCTATTAAACAGGTCATCACATTTCTTATCATGAAATATTCAAAACAACATTTACCTTCTAATTTCTTCTTCAATTGCAGGAATTCCTTGGGCTTGTGGATCCATTATATTTGTTGCACAACTTCCAAAATCACAGAGAACATAATGACCACTATCACTCACTAAAATATTTTCAACCTATTTAAATTGAAAATTAAACAAAAAATTAAGAATATCAACCCAAGTTCAAAGAAAAAATTTTATTGAACTATATTAAAAATTTTCTGAGGCAATAATGTTTTTTCTAAATATAAATATTGTTAAATATAAAATATCAATGTCCTAATTTTCAGTCTCTTGTTCAAAGTCTAGAAAAGACTTTTCATAACAATCTGATATTCTAATTTCAGACACTTGCTTATTCAATAATCAATGAAATCCATCTTAGATACAGAAATCTGAAAATTATTCTGTGATTTTATTCTCTAATGTAGAATATATATTGCTTGTTAAGCATGCACACATACAGTTAGTCAATCCAAAATATTTAGTTCTCTAAATTAGTGTACACTAGAGTAAACTAAACGTTAAATGAATACCTACCCTGTATTATTTTTTTAATTTTAAGAAATATTGCAATATATATTTAACAAATAATTAAATATTAATTGCTCCACGATGTTAGAATTATTCTTTAGATTTGCCTAATTTTTCATTTTCATAAATTATTTTATCCCACTTTTGATTCTACATTAAAGTAACACAATCAGTAATTCTTGATTTTCTATATTCTGTAAATCACTGAATCTAATTCTAAGATATTAATTTGCCTGTACAATTAGAATGACTCATATTTACACTTATTATTATTTAACATATTAAAGTCAAATGATTACAAGATTAAATCAGTTGCTAAATTAAATAATTGCTACTAATAATTATTAAGAACCAAGTTATTTGGTACCAGGGGTAGGCATTAGGTACCATTATTATAAAATTTAATAATTATAATTAAATTAATATTTATTAAATAATTTAGAACATTCTGGAAGAAAAGAGTCAGCCCAGACCTGAATCCACAACTGCTGCTTACCCTGAGGATGCATTGCCAGTTATACTACCTGGACCTCCAACCAATCCTTCAATTCCAGACATATTTAATTTTGATATAACCATACTAGTTACTCATGGTGCCAACTGGGACGATTCAGTTCCTACAGCCTGTAATCACTCACTATGGCACTCAGCTGGCTATTGCTATACTCTGGAAAGGTGAATATACACATATAAACATCTCAAAGCCTACTAACATGGTTATATCTAAATTAAATATGTCTGGAAGGAAAGGATCTAACGGAGGTCCAGGTATATCCACACAGCAAGCAGTAGTTACAGGTTCAAGTCCTGCTCCAAGCATATTCTTTTCTTCCAGAATTTTGTAAATTATTTAATAAATATTAATTTAATTATAATTATTAAATTTGAGATGGTACCTAATGCCTACCTCTAATGCCAAAATTATTCAGTATTTAAAAATTATTAATAGCAGTAATGTAGCCCAATTTAATCTGTAATCATTTGGCTTTAATATAATTTTTGAACGTTAAGATGTTTATATATGTATTATTTAACATATTTGTAAATTTTAACAAATTTAAAAAAAAAGTAAAAAGTAAATTCTAACTATTTCTAAATTATTCACAATAACTTTATAATTATTCTTACATTTCTATTTTATACAGTTTATTTTAAAATTAAGCAAGATATTATTTTATACCTCACAATGACAATGGGCAACATAACATAATATAATAATAAACTTACAAAAAATTTTAATTTATAAAAATTACAATTATATAAAAATGAAAACTCAAGTGACCATTAATGTCAAATACAAAAGGTAAATATTTAAAAGTCTAATGAAATGCTTATACCATACAAATATTAACAAAATTACTTTTATAATATTTAATAAACCTACTTTTACACCCTTAGAATTAACCACTTTCTTACTTTTAAGTTTGTAACAGATAATGATTAACTAAATGAAAAAAACAAATTTTTTTTATTAATGAGTAACTAACAAATCTATAGCACATATCACAATCAAGTATACTTATTTACTTCCAATACTTAATCTCAATGAATAAACAAGAAATTTAATAATTGGCAAATTTTAGAGATTCACTACATAACAGAACTATCTAAATATCAATATTTGGTTTTCATGATTTTAAACATATAAATCATATCTAATTTAAATTTTTACTAATCTAAATTAGTAGAAATTTTTGTAAATAACTGCTTACAAGATTCAAGTTACAAAATACAATAAGAATTCATCATTTAACTTAAGAAATTAATTTTTAAATATATTAATATAAAAGCTCATATGAAAGAAATAATTATTTTGTTACAACAAATTTTTATTAAATAAAAGTTTAAGATCACTGTCTTTCAGTGTTAATAAGATTTTTGATGAGTAAAGCAAAAAATAAACACAAAATATCTCATAAGCACTTTCAACATATTAAGATTAATGTTAAAATTTATATTAACATTCTAAAATATGTTTTCGTTACACCTGAAGACATTCCATACATGTTGAAAGTGCTTGCAAGATATTTTGTATTTATTTTTGTGCTTTACTTGTCAAAACTTTATTAATGCCAGACAGTGATCTTAAATCTTTATCTTATAAAAGCTCATAAATAAATATTCATAAAATAATAAAATTAGTTTTAATATTGCAATCAAAATTATAAATAGCATTAAATTTCCTCTCATTCAATATCCAATTTTAACAATAGTATTATAAAACAGAATAAATTATTATTCTTACCTTTAAATCTCTATGAATTATTGGTTTAACACTATGATGTAAACATGATACAGCTTCACAAATATCACAAAATATCCTAAGAATATCAGTTTCACTAAATCCTGACTGTAATCTTTCATTCATTAACTGTAAAACATGACCTAGTTTTTGGAAAAATTTTATATTCAACTTTTATAAAGTGATATACAAAAATAAGAACAACATTCATGTAATTTTAATTTGTAATTTCAAAATTATTTTTTATTTTTTAAAATTAATGTTTAAAAATTAAAAAACAATGTTTATTTATTTTAAATAAACATAATGAGCAATTTAAAATAAAAATGTATATCACTAAATTAAGAGAAACTTGTAGTCACAAAACATAAAACACATTTTTCTTTAAAATTACATATTTTTTCCCAATGTCAATAAACTAAATTAATTTATAACAATGGAAGAGTTTAATAAAAATAAAAAAATATCAAATCTATATATACAGTAGAGCATCGATTATCCGAAACAATTTGGGACTGGGTTGTTCGGATAACTGATCGTGTATGAAAAAATATATTAACCTATCCGACGCTGAAATTTTTCTCCATTGCATGTCACTTTGCATTGAATTTTTGTCAATGTTAAGCCTAATGAAAATTTTTTAAAAATAATAATCATGGCTATTGTATCATTAAAAATTATTTCTTTATTTTGCACAAACAAAATTCATTTCTTGTAAAATAAAAAAAGTTTTCAAAAATTCAAAAATTTTTTGTTGAAGACAAAGTCCTTCCCAAAAAGAGGAACCACCATTTATTAACTTTGTGTTCCAGACATTACACTTTTGGCGACTGACCTTCCCTTTTAGACTAGACTACTGGCCACCAAACAGTCCTTTAATTTAAAATACCTTCAACCTTCGTAAATAGGTACTGGTATAATATACACCACACTCTCTTCAACCTTAAATGACCAGCAAAATATTTAAAAATACTACAAATGTTTTTGACCGTTATTTCCAGTCTTCTTCAGGCAGAAAGTTCCGAGATTCAAATATCTGTTGTGCTTGAAAAAATTTTAACTATTCTTAGAATGTATGAACCGATGCATATAGACATTCATACTGCGCGTGTATGTTATACATAGATTATACAAATGAAATAATATATTTTTTAACACACACACAAAAAAACCGTGGAGATCTGGATTAAATAGGGTCTTCCTATTCATAGTAGAGCTTCAAGCATTGGAAATATTAATAGAATACTTGGAGTTGATGCAGTTATTGTGTAGCCAAGCTTTGTATATTTCAAGAATGTATTCCAGCGAATGTATATGTTCTCTTCGGCTTGATTATATTAATTATTTGGGCGTTATGTTTCAGATGGAAGACTGCAATAAAGATACGAGACACTAAGAGCCGCCCTCATGAAGACCAAATATGGAAGTGGATTTCCGAGTCCAAAAAATGGTTAAGGGATATTAACGTAGTGGTACTCAAGGCAGACAAGAGCAAAGCTTTGGTGGTATTAAAGAGAAGCACATACACGTCAATGATGCAAAAGTACATCAATGATACTGAGTGTGAACCCATTGATGATGGCTATGTCAACAAATTGCAAGCACGTGTAAAAAGGTTTACTCAAACACCGTTAGCTAGATTGATGAATGTAAACAGGGCAGTGGTGCCTTCCCCAGACACTCTCAGGCTATTTGCATTCGCCAAAATGCATAAGTAAATGCCAGCATTGAGTCCGATCCTCGACAAGGCACGATCCCCCACTAGAGAGTTAGACAAAGCCATACACAAGCGTATAACTCACTGCTTGAATGATTATCCATTGACGGTCCAGAATTCATTGGATTTATTGGAGGCTTTGAAATCGATGAGCATAAATGAATGAATGTACATCACGGTGCTTGATTTCGTATCTTTATACCCATCCATAAAAATTCAGCCATGCTTTTGCGCCATTAGGGATCTATTACTAACTTATCATGGCACGCACCGTAAACATGTTTTAGAACTTGCGCACATATTATGCTACACCTCATTTTTTCGCTTCAACAACAATACTTACCTCCAAAAACGTGGTGTCCCCATGGGCAACCCACTATCGGGAGATTTATGCGAGTTAGTCATCAGACAACTGGAACAAAAAATCATACCCATATTTGAACATAACATACTTATTTACAAGAGGTATGTGGATGACATCTTCGTTATGTGGAAGGCTAAGCCCAATATCTATAGTTTCATAGATGCAATGAATAATAACCCATATGGCCTCAGCATCAAGTTAGACCAAATAAGTAATTCGAATGCAACCTTCCTGGATATCAGTGTACAATTGGAAGGGGACAAGATATCAACTAAGGTCTATTATAAGCCATTCTATACTCCTCTATTCATCCTTGCCAATTCGGATGACCTTATGGCTTATAAGTTAGCGGCATTCAGGGCCCTAACCAAAAGAGCATTCACACACAATACAAAATTCGAAGATACATTGATAGAATTACAATGCATTCAGTACATAGCCTCTCGACATGGATATGAGCGGGGATTAACCCAGAAACTGGCATGTGCCTATTGATCGCAATTATATAATATTAACAACAACAACAACTCAAGCACTAGCATCTCAAACAATCCACAATCTTGGGATGTCATTCAATATAACCACCACCTGGACCCTATTTATAGAGAAATTGCGGCAATTACGAACAATAAAATTTCATATAAAAAACGGGGTACTGTTTATGACTTCCTCTGCAACTGCAAAGATCGCATAAACATAAGATTGGCTCCAGGGGTATACTTGGTTCCATTAAGGGACCATAGGTTTCAAAGGGTCCTTGTATATATTGGCTCTACAATACGTTCTCTAGATAAGCGTCTACGGGAACACAGATATGACATTGAACATAAAAGGGGTACCACTGCCTTGTGTACTTATGCTTCAACCCAGGGCATAAGAGCGGACCTGCATAATGCCCAAATAATTAATATAATCAAGCCGAAGAAAACATATACGTTCGCTGGAAACTCTCAAAATATACAAAGCTGGGCTACACAATAACTGCATCAACTCCAAGGATGCTATTAATATTTCCAATGCTTGAAGCTCTACTATGAACAGGAAGACCCTATTTAATCCGGATCTCCATGGTTTTTTTATATGTGTGTGTTAAAAAATATATTATTTCATTTGTATAAGTTATGCATAATACACACGTGCAGTATAAATGTCTATATGCATCGGTTCATACGTTCTAAGAATAATTTAAATTTTTTCAAGCACAACGGATATTCAAATCTCGGAACTTTCTGCCTGAAGAAAACCGGAAATAATGGTCGAAAACATTTGTAGTATTTTTAAATATTTTGCTGGTCATTTAAGGTTGAAGAGAGTGTAGTCCTTTAAAAACACAAACATATATCCAATTTAAAATATAAACATTTTTAAAAAGCAGCTTTCCTCATCTACATTTTACCAGCGCCTATTCTGTTGTAGATAAAAGCCGAAACAACCCCAAGAAGGTATGATGGAGAATAGAAGACGTCCGTATATCACCAGTTCCTGTTTTTTAGAAATGTTTATATTTTTAATTGGATATATGTTTGTGTTTTTAAAGGACTGTTTGGTGGCCAGTAGTCTAGTCTAAAAGAGAAGGTCAGTCGCCAAAAGTGTAATGTCTGGAACACAAAGTTAATAAATGGTGGTTCCTCTTTTTGGGAAAGACTTTGTCTTCAAAAAAAAAATTAATCATTATCATCGCCATTGGACAAAGATTTACAAAAAAAAAAATTATATTTCAGAAGTTAATCTAGTATCAAAAATGTTCCGATTCAGCACAACACACGTTCCAAAACATAGTCCTCAGAAAACCACCACACAAAACAAGCAAAACTCTTTCTTTTTCTTGGGTTTATCTGGAGATGTCAGCTGCTTGGGCTATATTCTCAGACGAGCTGAAGAAAAACACACCATTAAATGGGGAAAATAGCCTTGTTCAAATACTGGCACGTTCTTAAGTACCCTCTCGATGTGTGCTGTGCTGAATCAGAACATTTTTGATACTAGATTAATTTCCGAAATATAATTTTTTTTGTTTTTATATTTTTCAATATATTTATTTTATTTGTGCAAATTAAAGAAATAATTTGTAATGATACAATATGGTCACACCAGTGCTGCCAGCTAAAACATGCACAGCAACAAAAATAATATTGGAGTAGCCCAAGACATAGCCAAATATTGCAGTGCCACAGTACTAGCAGAAATTTGAATTTGCCAAATGGATTGCTTTTGGTTAACCAATGTTTCGGTTGATCGGTATTTGGATAATCGATGCTCTACTGTATTAGTTATGCAATAACCAGTTAATCTAAACAACTAATTATTAAAATAATTTAACTATAAATGAAAGGCCTCAAATGTGTAATATTTTAATGTAGTGAATAAATACATTTCTATAGTAAGACACCAACCGAATGCCGTAAATTAATCGGGCTATTTTAATGCTAAATTCTAAATAAATTAGAATTTAGAATTTAGCATTAAAATAGCCCGATTAATTTACGGCATTCGGTTGGTGTCTTACTATATTGGATATCGGGTTTGGAGATGTTTATTTATAAATACATTTCTTCAATCTTACAGTTTTTGTATGCACAAAAATTTAAAGTTGTTTATACAATGTTATATTGTAAGAAATTTTACATAAAAAAATTAAAAAGCACTTTCTCTTTTAAAAATACAACCAAATTACAATGTAAAAACAACATTTAAGAACAGATACAGGTATATTTACTCTAATTTTTGAATAGTTGCTCTGCTCCACTACTATGATAAGAACTTCAACAGACAAGAAATTGAAGCCTTGACAGTAGAAAAATGTGCCATTCAGGTATTCAGGTTTAGCCAACACTTGACTTCTTGGACATAATCAGACTGGAAGAATAGTTCTCAAAAGAACTCTTTCAGTTTGAGGACTAAACAGAAAGCTAGTGTTGCATGATAAATGCCACATAGCCTGACCACGTATTTTATTGTGAATTTTTTCTCCATTCTGTTTATAGTCTTGACTTCACACTTCCACCTCTTTCCCTGATTGAAGAGCTTTTCAAGCCTTACACATCCAGTGTGATGATGTCAAATATTGGCTAT